TATATAATATTTAAAGTCTCGATACATTATTAATGTTTAACAACGCATAATCGGTCTTTCTGGTAATATTGTTTCTTAACATTATTGAATGATGTACTATCTATATTTCAGAAAGTTATCTCGCATTCAAGCCGGATCAAGTATCAGAGGTGGAATTACTTCTAATCAAAGCATCTATTCTCGAGCTCAGGACTTGTAGCAAATCGAAGCATTTTCTCGAAGAAGACAATCTTCCATCACCGAGTATATTTTCGCTCATCTCATTATAAAAATAATTAAATTGGTATGTGTTGATTATAATAAAAAAATTTATAAATATTATAAAAATATTATAAAAAAAAATTAAAATAACTGAAACACAGGAAATCTTCAGAGAAAAGGGTCTATCACGTTATCTTTCTACATTGCAGAATATTGCAGAATCTGAAACAGAAGAAAGTATCATACAATCAGCGAATTATTTAGTTGTTATTTACGATAAAGTAACTTCGTTATTTGTGCATAATTTCCTGAGGGCTCACGTAAGAGGGCTCAATTAAAATCTCGAACGTTCACTTTTTCTTTTTTTACGTACACAAGTTTCAACTCAGTTGCCAAAATCAAGAAATACACATTACGCAATGAGTATGTCGTGCTGTTAATGAAAAACTGCTCGCAGGCAAGAATGCATAAACTAGTTTCCGAGTGTGTTATAATTTACAACAGAACACTTCTCCACTACGGAATATCCACGGAATTAATTATCCGCTGCATGTGCTTTCTATAAACGAATAACTTTCACTGTTTATCAGTATGAAAATACTCTGCAAATGTTTTGGAACGCTTTATCGTCAAAATTATTCCCGAAATGATTTATGCTGTAACTTACTAATTATAAGCCGGAATAACTTCTTTTTCGCATATGCATGAATGTCTAAAGACCTTTGAACACGTTCGTCATCAGACAATGAATGCAAAATGCATTTTAAAATCTTTTCTTGTAGTAACAGAGGCCAGATGTGACGCTACTTTCACAGAAAAGTCAGCGTCATTGGTCTGCAATACCACAGGTTTCTAAGTAGAGTAGTGGTTCGTATTTTTAAAGATATGACGTACACGACTAACAGTCAGCAATAGTATGGATGGTGAATGGTAGAACATTGATGTGGCCGTCTAGCAACGAATACACTTATTTCCACAGATTGGTGTCATCGGGATTATGGTCAAACAACGGCTGCAACCACCTTGGCACGAATTCTTAATTGAGGCGTAACTGGCGAAATCATTGTTCCCGCATAAATTCGTTATGTTCTGATGTGAATTCTTTTTATAACCGCACGTTCAATTTATACTATCACAAAAGGAAGATACAAGATATATATTTCCACCATTGGTCTCGATCTTCATCTCGAGCGAGCTGTTAAAGTTGTTCAAATAAATTCAATTTTTAAAGAATTTTCGTTCGATAATTAGAATAGAAATGACCGAGGATATTTTTCTATCAAGAATCTTTCACACCAACGTCCCGTTCGAATTTCATTTCAAAGGAAATCAAAGGATCAATATTTTTTAAAGGAATTTAAATTTCTAAAGTGAACGTGCGAATGACTGCCGCGACCTTGCCCCAGGTTTTAGACACCTGAACCATCTGCATAATTTGCTTCGATCAATATTGCAGTGAATAATTGGTAGAATATTCTTGTTTTCACGTTCGTACGTTCTATAACTTGCGTTTTTTTTTTTTAATTTTTTTTATCAATGATTGATGAGTATTTAAGGGATTATTGATAAAAATTATAACAATTGAGGAACTGCTTGAGACTAAGTAAACATTCTTGAAATATCTGATTTTGTGTGAAAAAAAGAAACATGTTCGAGAAAATAGTTGATGGCTCGAAATAATATTGAAAAATAGTATTGAAAAAATTTAAGCACATTTCATTATGTCTTTAATCTTTCAATTATGTTAATTTTAATTAATATTAACGCAAAGTATTAATATGTACATATATTGAAGATGATGATACGTATATTATAAATAAACGATGATCAACATCAAATGATTCAAACTGTGTTTTAGTGCCAACATTTTATATTCTACCAAACATTAAATAAGTTGTCATCTATGACTCATGAAGAGAGTTACGATATATGAATGTTTCCTTTCTCTTCTTTTATTTCATCACCTAATATCGCGAATCTTGAATGCATAATAATTTATAACTTTGAGTCAAACAATAACTAACTGTTTTAATTGTTAAACATTTTCTATTTTTGATAAATGCAAATCCTCAATGTCATATATATAACATCTATTTAAATTAATTTACTTGTAATAGAAAGAATTGTTACATAATTATTTATAGACAAAATAAAATAATTATTTAATTATTGCAGAATTACAAAATAAAATACTGTAACAGTTTTAATAATCTATGAATGATAAAATTTTTGTTTATAACAATAATTATAACAAGTTCTAATAAATTATTTATAATTGTAGTGTATAAGATTTAGTAAATTATATAACATCAAATGCAAGAATATTATATACATTTCAAGATCTTCATTTTGTTTCGATTTCTATGAAAATAGCATAGGCATTCTTAGTTCATGCAACTTTTTGAGGCTTCCATTATTTCGTAGGAAACTACCTACCAACTGCACGTAATAAGCTTCTGACGTAGAACCTAACAATTACGCAAGGGAATTGCAATGATGCAACAGAAATCTTCACAAATTGTAAAATGCTTCATAATCGTTCTACAATGATTGCAATACAGTTTTAATTTAGCTTCAAAAAATATATAGAAATATGTAGAATATGTAGAATATATAGAAATATGTAGAAATATGTAGAATATTCTTACATAAAGTTTATAATAATTTTACATTAAGAAATATGTAATTTAAAATAGGAAGGAAGATACACACACACAAGAAAAATAGTTCATTAATTATTTATATTACAAGCACACTTAATATTTAATATTTGTACATAGATATAAAGATCTACTAATGTTTTCTTCTATTATTCTTCTGACCTTTCCGATTTTTTGGGCCGTTTCTTTTACGTTTTTGTTCAAGCAATTTACGCGCCTTAAGAATTTGTTCTGGATGTTTCAATTCATTATTTCTTTTAATCTTTTCCTTTATTTTCTGGTTGTGGCGTGCCCAATGTGTATTCGCCGTTGTTTGCACTGAAATATATAGAAAATAAATATATACGTGATAAAATATATACGTGATAAATATATACGTGATAAAATGCTTAAATAATAAATTCAAGTACATATCTTCACATACATTTTTGCATTTGTGAAGGTTCTTCTTCACTGTTATCATCATTTGTAGCATCGATTTTGCTCTTTTCTTTCCAGGTCGAATAACGATTTGATTTATAACTAGCAGGTATCCAAACTCCAGATTCTGTCTGTATTTTATTAACCTTTCGTTCCTTTAAAAAGACACATTTCTTTAAAATATCTTGTTTCCTATGAATTCATTAATTATTTCAAATACATACATTATTAATAGTGATCATTTTCTTCTTTTTACGATCCCATTTTTTTATTTGCGCTTGAAATCGCTGGGATTCTTCGTTATCAGCAGTTAAATCCATTTGTACTTGATCTGCTTCTGTATTAAAGGAATTAACTGCCAAACTGTAAAAATGTATTTAAATATAATGTACAGTAAAAATGATTTACTAAAAACTTACTAAAAATGATTTTACTAAAAACTTACCCTTCTTCCGTATGTTTATCTGGAGCATGATATGGAATAAAAAATTCTTCGTCTCGTATTGCTGATCGTTTTTTCTTTTTAGGTTTATATAAATCATCTAGATTTCTTTTTTTTGGAAATACAACTTTATTAAATACTGCATTTATTTCATCGGTTGTACTTGATGGAAGATCTACTTGTCTTGATAAATCTACAATACACTATTAATTATTAAATAAAAATTATATTAATAAAATTCGTATTAACTGATTAAAATGTACATTTACCTTCTGAATTTTTCTTAGCTTCCAATTCATCTATCTTTCTGTGAAAATTTATAATATTTTCTTTATGTAACATACGTTTCTTTTTCATAACTTGATAATCAATAGATGATGCCTTAGCTCCAATTTCAAATATTGTCTACAACAAATATTTAATAATCAACATATAATTATAATATAATTGATATAGATTTTACGAATATACATACTCCTTGAGGTTTATAATTCACTATTTTTGATAACAAATTCGTAGTACTTGAAGAAACATTCGAATATTCTGGCATAACACCTGCTTCGCTAATGTGTAATTCCTTTATCCTTTTAATACTTTCTGATGAAGCTGCAGGTCGCGATCGAATATATTGTTTATATGCATTATCGCAAACTTTTTCCATATTTCTCTATACAAAATGTAAATATGAAATTATGAATAGTTATTTTAATAAATATAATGAAATTACATACTAAATCTGTAGAACAATTATGCCAATTTATTAATTCCGCGAGTTCTTCTTCTATCATTGCTTGTGACATTTTGCCAACAAAACCGTTTGTATTTTCTATAGATCTAGATTCAGAAGATCGTATAATACGTAAGGGACGTCCGAGGAAAAGATGTAAATCTAGCAAATAAGCATATTCGTCTGGACTTATGATATTGTATGCAGTACCAGTACGGCCCGCTCGTGCGCAACGACCTATTATAATAAATACCGATGTATAAATTTTTATATAATTTAAAACATAACTTGTTCACTTACCTACTCTATGTACAAAAAGCTTCGACTTCGCAGGGAAATTAAAATTGATTACGTTATCCAAATGAGGAATGTCTAAACCTCGAGCGGCAACATCTGTTACTATTAGAACTTGGACTTTACTAGTTTGAAATTTAGCTGCATTTATTTTTCGAGCTGACGGGTCCAAATTAGAATAGATATATGTGTTGGAAATTCCAGCTTTTTCTAATATCTATTAACAAGATACAATCATTTTACAATCAAATTAATATACTAGTTATAAATATTGTAAATCACATTGTCTACCTGATGAATATATTCAACATGATGTTGAGTTGCAGCAAATATTACCGTTTGAGAATCAGTTTTAATAACGTTTTTTAACAAGCATAATAACACTGCCAATTTTTCTTCTGGCCGACATATTATAAATGAAAGTGTCAATTGTTCTGGTATTTTACTTTCTACATCTAAACGTAATAAAATAGGATCAGTTAATCCAGCTTTTGCAAAATCTACTAAAAGTTTAGGTAATGTTGCAGAAAATAATAATGTTTGTTTTGACTCTGGCAATCTGTTTGTAATCTCATTAATTTGTTCACCAAACCCCATT